GGAAAGGAGAGAGAGAGAGAGAGAGAGAGAGAGAGAGAGAGAGAGAGAGAGAGAGAGAGAGAGAGAGAGAGAGACAGAGAGAGAGAGAGAGAGAGAGAGAGAGAGAGAGGCTTTCCTTCAGCGGATCCGGCGTGAACAAATCACAGCAAACATCGTCCTTCACACGCGGTGCAGCAGAAGCAGCGAACGAGCAACTGCTTTAGTTCAGCGTTCATAATCACGCCGATGCTCCCTCGAGGCGTATCTGTTCAGATTCACGTCTGACTCGAATACACGCCACAGACGCCGCCTGAGAGAAGAAGCCACCGTAAACACTGCAGCACCACTCCGGATTACATTCACGAGTCTGAGAAATAAAGGGAGAGAACCTCGTGAAACAAGCCCGGGGCATATTTCATCCTAAAATTAAAAGAAAGAAAAAAAAAATAAAAAAGCCTATATGTATTTTATAAAAAAAATAATTAAAAAAATTGTTATATATAAAAGTTTTTTTTTTTTTTTAATTGATGTACTAGAACAAAACAAAAACAAATTCATAAAAACAAAGATAAAAAAAATAAAATTACTAAATGTTGGTATTAATTTAGGTTGGTTAATTAATTTAGAATGTCATTATTTTTAAATAAATTAGTTAATAAAAAATTAATTCAGAAATAAATGTAATAAAAAAATTATAGTATTTATTAATAAGAATTACTTTTTATTTTTAGATTTTCAATTTTCATTTTTTTAAATTGAAGATAATATATACACACATGTATATATTAAATGTATATAATATAAATAAAGGCTTCTTTTTCTATATATGAAAAATAACATTAATTTTCTTTTGATCTTGGGGTGAAATATAAGCTGTTTTCAGGAGATTCGCCCAAATCCAGGATTCATAAACCAGCTGTCTGAAGACAGACGTCTGTCCTCTAAAACACGTCAAACATATTTTAATGCTCACGAGAGCGAGAACTGAACTGTGCAAAACATCCTGAAGCGCCTGACGTGAAGTGATGCTACATCCTGCGTTTCGTAACATCCATGAAGTGAGCGGAGAACCTCTGCAAACAGACCGTGAGCGCTATAAAGCGTCTCCTGAGTGTTTCACAGTCGGCTGTTAATGCCCGTGTGTGTGTCCAGACTCGTCCTCCAGCTGCAGCTCAAGCCAGCACAAGCTCTGCGCTCACGTCTGACGGCACGTCGGGCTTCCAGACCGGCTCCTGATAGTCCAGGTTCTTGTGCTGGGTTATCCAGCGGTACGGGCCGCGAGAGTCTCTCCGGGCCTTCCGTCGCAGACGCCGCTGCTGCAGTAAGAGCCGCAGATGCTCCAGCTTACAGCGCATGGCTTTATTCTCCGTCTGCCGCAGACGCTCTCCTGACGGACACACAGAGATAACACACATCAACCTTTGCTTTCTCTTTCCTGAAGCCCTCGGTCTAGCTAATGTCGGAAACTTTCTATTACAAGCACTTCCGGTGTTTATTTGCCCTTCTTATGATGAATCGCTTCTTGTATTCCTCAATTTAGCGTCTGCTACATGAATAAATGTAAATGTCATAACATCAGCGCACACTTCTAGACCGACTGGAACAGACCAGTGAGATCAGGAGCCGTGTTAATATTACTACAACCAGACTAAATTACTTCAGCAACATTTCTCATTTCCATTTAGTTAACCAAAACAGAAACTGAAACTAAAAGACATGTTAAAAAAACGAATTAAAAACACAAAAAACACTACTTGCATTTCAAACAATTCAATTTGTAATTGATTCTATAATAATTTAGAATTCTTTATTTTTAATAAATTAGTTTATAAAAATTTCATATTTTTAAATACATTTAATAAATCATATTATAGTTTATTAATATTTAGAATTAGATTTTATATAAAGTATATACACATTTATATATAAATTAGTTTGCGAGTTTGTAAAAATACATAAATTGAATATTTTATATAAAAATTTAAAAAAAGATATTCTTTATAAAACTAATATATTTTTAAATAATTATAGTTTACTAAAAAAAAATAGTACATTTTATAATAAATTATATTTTTTTATATATTTAAATCAAAATAAAATACACTTTATATACACAAATAAAAACAATTCTAAATGCAAAACAACAACAACCCTATACTAGCATCTCAGCGCTACTAAAATAACACCGGTGTGCATCCAGAGGAAGAGGAGCCGATGACATCTCACAGCGAGTCTCATGAAGTAAAACACAGCATCCAGACACACAACAGTGCTGAGAATTAAACTCGAGTAATGTCCCAATGATCCGAAAAACAGGCCTGACTGACTTCATCTAAAGGAGACTCCCGTGTAAACCTGCACTTCCTCCAGGAGTCCAGATCTGTTCTTTCCAGAGCTGCTGACCCATGAATCATTGATGCTTCATCAGCATGTTTCCACTGCGCACACACACACACACAGTGCTGCGGGGATCCTGGAGGCCCCTGAGGGCCCGAGTGTGCCTGAGCAAAGCTGAATAATTCATGCAGCCAGTGTGCTGGAAAGACGCGAGTCGAGATAAGAGTGTGTGTGTGTGTGTGAGAGAGAGGGTCATGACCCCCTGAAAGCACAGAGCTCGGCGTGACCCCGCGGCTGATCTCTGAGAGGTCACGTCTCATTCAGAGCTCAGACAGGAGAAGACATGAGAAACAAAAAGGCCGAACCGCAGTAAAATGACATTAGAACATGCCATTTCAGTGAGATAATCCACTCAATCAGCACTGAATGAAGCATTAACAGTTATTTTCCGGTTTATCACGGAGAAGCAGCTGAACAATCTGTGCTGCAGACATAAATGTGACTTGACTTTAGGATTCTCCTTGCTATTAACATTAAGAATTTAAAAACAATCACAATAAGCTAACATTCTTCTAGTTCATCAGCTTCAGATGCATGAATATGTAATTCACAGCAGCTCGTCCAATCAGATTTCAGCGGCGTGTCTGAATGACTGTTTGATGAAGCAGTGTGTGTGTTTGCAGTAAAGCTGATCTGTTACAGAACGAGACACAAACAAACACACACACACACACACACACACACTGAGCAATGAATCAGAGAAAATGAGAAGTGTGTAAAGTTAGAAAAGACAGAGTCAGAATATATGACTTCCTCTTCCTGTGTGTCAGATCATTTGATCACACACACACTCGCGCGCTCATGCTCACACACACACACACACATGCTCACGCTCATGCTCACACACACACACACGCTCACGCTCTCTTGCTCACGCTAACACTCTTGCTCACGCACACACACACACACTCTTGCTCGCTCACGCTCACACGCTCACACTCTTGCTCACGCACACACACACACTCTTGCTCGCTCACGCTCACACGCTCACACTCTTGCTCACGCACACACACACACTCTTGCTCGCTCACGCTCACACGCTCACACTCTTGCTCACGCACACACACACACTCTTGCTCGCTCACGCTCACACGCTCACACTCTTGCTCACGCACACACACACACTCTTGCTCGCACACGCTCACACGCACACGCTCTCTTGCTCACGCGCACACGCTCACACGCACACACACACTCAAGCTCACAGAGAGATAGACACACACTCACCGGAGGGTCTGCGCAGGTGTGCGTGCGGCTGCCGCTGGTCTGAGGTAGGTGAGGGTGGAGGTGAGCAGGGCGAGGCCGGAGGGCAGTGGAGGTGCGTCAGCATCGGAGGAGATCCCTGGCAATGCCTCGCAGACGCCGCTGCTGCAGTAAGAGCCGCAGATGCTCCAGCTTACAGCGCATGGCTTTATTCTCCGTCTGCCGCAGACGCTCTCCTGACGGACACACAGAGATAACACACATCAACCTTTGCTTTCTCTTTCCTGAAGCCCTCGGTCTAGCTAATGTCGGAAACTTTCTATTACAAGCACTTCCGGTGTTTATTTGCCCTTCTTATGATGAATCGCTTCTTGTATTCCTCAATTTAGCGTCTGCTACATGAATAAATGTAAATGTCATAACATCAGCGCACACTTCTAGACCGACTGGAACAGACCAGTGAGATCAGGAGCCGTGTTAATATTACTACAACCAGACTAACAACATTTAAAAATTACTTCAGCAACATTTCTCATTTCCATTTAGTTAACCAAAACAGAAACTGAAACTAAAAGACATGTTAAAAAAACGAATTAAAAACACAAAAAACACTACTTGCATTTCAAACAATTCAATTTGTAATTGATTCTATAATAATTTAGAATTCTTTATTTTTAATAAATTAGTTTATAAAAATTTCATATTTTTAAATACATTTAATAAATCATATTATAGTTTATTAATATTTAGAATTAGATTTTATATAAAGTATATACACATTTATATATAAATTAGTTTGCGAGTTTGTAAAAATACATAAATTGAATATTTTATATAAAAATTTAAAAAAAGATATTCTTTATAAAACTAATATATTTTTAAATAATTATAGTTTACTAAAAAAAAATAGTACATTTTATAATAAATTATATTTTTTTATATATTTAAATCAAAATAAAATACACTTTATATACACAAATAAAAACAATTCTAAATGCAAAACAACAACAACCCTATACTAGCATCTCAGCGCTACTAAAATAACACCGGTGTGCATCCAGAGGAAGAGGAGCCGATGACATCTCACAGCGAGTCTCATGAAGTAAAACACAGCATCCAGACACACAACAGTGCTGAGAATTAAACTCGAGTAATGTCCCAATGATCCGAAAAACAGGCCTGACTGACTTCATCTAAAGGAGACTCCCGTGTAAACCTGCACTTCCTCCAGGAGTCCAGATCTGTTCTTTCCAGAGCTGCTGACCCATGAATCATTGATGCTTCATCAGCATGTTTCCACTGCGCACACACACACACACAGTGCTGCGGGGATCCTGGAGGCCCCTGAGGGCCCGAGTGTGCCTGAGCAAAGCTGAATAATTCATGCAGCCAGTGTGCTGGAAAGACGCGAGTCGAGATAAGAGTGTGTGTGTGTGTGTGAGTGGGTCATGACCCCCTGAAAGCACAGAGCTCGGCGTGACCCCGCGGCTGATCTCTGAGAGGTCACGTCTCATTCAGAGCTCAGACAGGAGAAGACATGAGAAACAAAAAGGCCGAACCGCAGTAAAATGACATTAGAACATGCCATTTCAGTGAGATAATCCACTCAATCAGCACTGAATGAAGCATTAACAGTTATTTTCCGGTTTATCACGGAGAAGCAGCTGAACAATCTGTGCTGCAGACATAAATGTGACTTGACTTTAGGATTCTCCTTGCTATTAACATTAAGAATTTAAAAACAATCACAATAAGCTAACATTCTTCTAGTTCATCAGCTTCAGATGCATGAATATGTAATTCACAGCAGCTCGTCCAATCAGATTTCAGCGGCGTGTCTGAATGACTGTTTGATGAAGCAGTGTGTGTGTTTGCAGTAAAGCTGATCTGTTACAGAACGAGACACAAACAAACACACACACACACACACACACACACTGAGCAATGAATCAGAGAAAATGAGAAGTGTGTAAAGTTAGAAAAGACAGAGTCAGAATATATGACTTCCTCTTCCTGTGTGTCAGATCATTTGATCACACACACACTCGCGCGCTCATGCTCACACACACACACACACACACACATGCTCACGCTCATGCTCACACACACACACACGCTCACGCTCTCTTGCTCACGCTAACACTCTTGCTCACGCACACACACACACACTCTTGCTCGCTCACGCTCACACGCTCACACTCTTGCTCACGCACACACACACACACACACACACTCTTGCTCGCACACGCTCACACGCACACGCTCTCTTGCTCACGCGCACACGCTCACACGCACACACACACTCAAGCTCACAGAGAGATAGACACACACTCACCGGAGGGTCTGCGCAGGTGTGGTGTAGGTGAGGTAGGTGAGGGTGGAGGTGAGCAGGGCGAGGCCGGAGGGCAGTGGAGGTGCGTCAGCGTCGGAGGAGATCCCTGGCAATGCCGCGTGGCGCTCAAGAGGTCGTTGAGGATCTGCAGAATGGTGCTGATGTCCCGGCGAGGATGCCCGCTGCTGTCCTGACAGTTAGGGTGTAAAGTACCTGAGGGGTGAAGAGGTCGCGATGAGGTCGACACGAGCCGCTTGTTCTGACTGCTGTAATTCTCACGATGAAGCGATGCGTTACCTGAGAAGGTTCCTGAGAAAACTCCCGGCGCGTGGTTGACGAGGCTCTCGATGACGGCGCCGGGTTTGCATCGCTGTCTGGGGCTCTGAGTGCTGCCTTCAGCCTGAAACACACACACACACACACACACACACACACACGTTAGTGAGCGTCTTCTGATCAGTCACTGCAACAATCTCCAGTGTTAGCTTAGCATCACTGAGATACTATTATAGCAGCTGGTTAATATTTTAAAATAGATTTTTCTCATTTGTTGTGTTTGTCTTTATTTTTTTCCATTTATTTTGAGTTATTTTAGCACCATTGAGATACTATTATAGTTTTTATATTTATATTTTCCTGTTTTTTTAATTTAATTTTAGTTAAATTATTATTATTAATTTCATTGTACATTTTTGTTATTTTTACTAGTTTAAAAAATAAATCCCCCCTCCCACCAATTTTTATTTTTGGTTGAGTTTTAGTTATTTTAGTACATCAAGTTAACGTAATTAAAATGATAGATGTTGCCTTGGCAACTAGCTGAAATAAAATATAATAAAAACTTATTTTTAAGCAAACATTTTGTAATGGTTTTAATTTTAGTTAACTATGATAACCCTGAAACTAAATGAATATGAGAAATATTGAAATAAAATAAGTTTGTTTTTTAATGCATTTTATTCCAGTTAACATTTATTTTATTTCAAGTAAAGAACTTTATGGTTTTAGTTAATTATAATAACCTTGCACCGGTCTCTGTAACACTGGAGCTGCTCAAAAGTAAACCTTTTCATTCTTCTCAAGAGTTGTATAGCACAAATGTGAAGCTGGTATATTTGTTATACTTGTTTTTTCTCAGTAATACGCAATTATTTGAGCTGTAAAATGTCTAAATGCTCCTTTCTGCAGGGACTCTGCTTTTCAGGACAGATGAACTTATAATTATCCATAACTCCAGTGTTTTTGAGATGTTAGAGCTTGTTGAACTCAGCACAAATACTGCACAATGAACAGCATTTACTGGCTTTACACTGCACATCAGACAAGATCTACTTCTGTTTCTGGATGAACTTCAGCCCCTTTAACCCGTATCATCTTGAAGGCTTGTTTCTGTACTGGTGAGGTGGTGCATTTATCATCTACTCCATTGTAATGCACTACTGTCGCCTATTAAAGGCCACTATTTTTGCATTAGGGTTTAATAAAACATGAATCAATTCTATGCTCGTGTCTCACCTGAGTGCAGGGCGGAGCATGGGCGGGGCTTTGAGGATAGTGGGCGTGGCTAACAGGGTGTGAGTGAAGAGTAGGGGCGGGGCTTTGAGTACTGTGGGCGTGGTGAACATGAGATGAGGGCGGGGCATTGTGGCTCTTCATGACGTCCAGTGCCCGCTGCTGAGAGTCTGAGGGGTTTTCACTGCTATCGGCCCCTGTAGGCGTCTGGTTGGGGCCCGCAGGTCCCCTGGAGATGGACGGCTGAGCCGCCAACTGCAGCTGCACAAACATCATGTGATCGCCCACACGCAGGGCAAGGGTCAGCGGGGACCGTCCCGACAGGAAGTCACTGACCTGCACACCAAACGAGATGATCGACAGACGTTAATGAGACGTGCATGTTTCATTCAGTAGCACATCATCTTCTGACTCCAAATGTGTATCGCCATCAAAAATGATTCTTTCTTGCCATTTTGGTCTTGTTTCAGAACACAAATATCTACACATTCTTAAATCAAGACACATTTACTGGAGACGCAAAATGACGTCAGACGAGAAGTCCTGTTTTCTGAGAAATTTAATAAAATGGGTTCATGCTTAAAACAAGAAATATCTGCTAATGGGGTCAGAAAAATAAAACAAATTCAAAGATAACAACAACATTATTTTTCTGACCCCACTGGCAGATATTTCTTTGTGTTTTAAACAAATACTCAAGATATTAAGTATTTTTCTGAAAAAAAAAAAAAAGTATAAAAATTAAGTCATTCTGAATCTCCAGAAAATGCGTCTTGATTTAAGGATGTTTAGATATTTGTGCTGGAAAACAAGACAGAAATACCGACACACACACACACACACACACACACACACACGTTAGTGAGCGTCTTCTGATCAGTCACTGCAACAATCTCCAGTGTTAGCTTAGCATCACTGAGATACTATTATAGCAGCTGGTTAATATTTTAAAATAGATTTTTCTCATTTGTTGTGTTTGTCTTTATTTTTTTCCATTTATTTTGAGTTATTTTAGCACCATTGAGATACTATTATAGTTTTTATATTTATATTTTCCTGTTTTTTTATTTTATTTTAGTTAAATTATTATTATTAATTTCATTGTACATTTTTGTTATTTTTACTAGTTTAAAAAATAAATCCCCCCTCCCACCAATTTTTATTTTTGGTTGAGTTTTAGTTATTTTAGTACATCAAGTTAACGTAATTAAAATGATAGATGTTGCCTTGGCAACTAGCTGAAATAAAATATAATAAAAACTTATTTTTAAGCAAACATTTTGTAATGGTTTTAATTTTAGTTAACTATGATAACCCTGAAACTAAATGAATATGAGAAATATTGAAATAAAATAAGTTTGTTTTTTAATGCATTTTATTCCAGTTAACATTTATTTTATTTCAAGTAAAGAACTTTATGGTTTTAGTTAATTATAATAACCTTGCACCGGTCTCTGTAACACTGGAGCTGCTCAAAAGTAAACCTTTTCATTCATCTCAAGAGTTGTATAGCACAAATGTGAAGCTGGTATATTTGTTATACTTGTTTTTTCTCAGTAATACGCAATTATTTGAGCTGTAAAATGTCTAAATGCTCCTTTCTGCAGGGACTCTGCTTTTCAGGACAGATGAACTTATAATTATCCATAACTCCAGTGTTTTTGAGATGTTAGAGCTTGTTGAACTCAGCACAAATACTGCACAATGAACAGCATTTACTGGCTTTACACTGCACATCAGACAAGATCTACTTCTGTTTCTGGATGAACTTCAGCCCCTTTAACCCGTATCATCTTGAAGGCTTGTTTCTGTACTGGTGAGGTGGTGCATTTATCATCTACTCCATTGTAATGCACTACTGTCGCCTATTAAAGGCCACTATTTTTGCATTAGGGTTTAATAAAACATGAATCAATTCTATGCTCGTGTCTCACCTGAGTGCAGGGCGGAGCATGGGCGGGGCTTTGAGGATAGTGGGCGTGGCTAACAGGGTGTGAGTGAAGAGTAGGGGCGGGGCTTTGAGTACTGTGGGCGTGGTGAACATGAGATGAGGGCGGGGCATTGTGGCTCTTCATGACGTCCAGTGCCCGCTGCTGAGAGTCTGAGGGGTTTTCACTGCTATCGGCCCCTGTAGGCGTCTGGTTGGGGCCCGCAGGTCCCCTGGAGATGGACGGCTGAGCCGCCAACTGCAGCTGCACAAACATCATGTGATCGCCCACACGCAGGGCAAGGGTCAGCGGGGACCGTCCCGACAGGAAGTCACTGACCTGCACACCAAACGAGATGATCGACAGACGTTAATGAGACGTGCATGTTTCATTCAGTAGCACATCATCTTCTGACTCCAAATGTGTATCGCCATCAAAAATTATTCTTTCTTGCCATTTTGGTCTTGTTTCAGAACACAAATATCTACACATTCTTAAATCAAGACACATTTACTGGAGACGCAAAATGACGTCAGACGAGAAGTCCTGTTTTCTGAGAAATTTAATAAAATGGGTTCATGCTTAAAACAAGAAATATCTGCTAATGGGGTCAGAAAAATAAAACAAATTCAAAGATAACAACAACATTATTTTTCTGACCCCACTGGCAGATATTTCTTTGTGTTTTAAACAAATACTCAAGATATTAAGTATTTTTCTGAAAAAAAAAAAAAAGTATAAAAATTAAGTCATTCTGCATCTCCAGTAAATGCGTCTTGATTTAAGGATGTTTAGATATTTGTGCTGGAAAACAAGACAGAAATACCGAGAAAGAATATTATTTGTCTTGTGCAATGTAAAATTATTATAAAATCTCGGATTCGGGGAAAAAAGGAAAATACACATTAAATATAAACCTAAAATCGCCAGTAGGTGGCGGCAAACCACTGCATGAGTAAGTCATTGAATCATTTACTCAACCGATTCGTTCAAACGGCAGATTGATTCGGTAATAAAACCCCGTCGTGTCGTTCAGAGACCGCTGTGCCTTTGATTGGAACTATTTTCGTTGTCGAAATAGAGCCAAAACAGGAACTTGTCTCAAATGTCAATTAATATTAACTTCTTGCTTATCGGACTGTTTTATAAAATCAATATCACATTTGCAATCGTGCTGATATTTGAAAAACAAAACTATTCTTTGTGTGATTTGAACTATTTCAGATGATAGAAATATAAAAGACATATAAAAGTCATATGGCGGCATATTTGCCCCTTTATCTTGAATTTTGTAGGAATTCTAAATGTACTTCAATAGACTAAATCACGCAGTGAAAGCGTGAACTCTAAACGTGCTCGCGCAGTATCTCCCAGTGCATGCGTGCACTCTCTGGGTGTGTTTTGTGATATACTCTTAACGTCAAATCGCATATCGTTTAATCAACAATTACGATATTATCATAGACGATATATATCACACCCCCCCAATCCCAACTGAAACCGCGATGTTCAATATCCATTCCCTTCTCTTTTGTCTGCGAAACTGTGAATGCACACAATTAAGATATAAAAACAGTTACAATAGTGTAAAGCACTGATGCAATACTGTAAGAAGAATAAGGCAGGTGATACAATGTTGCCGTCAACGGGCAGCCAGGTGAGACTCAAGGCCCACGACTGATCTAAAGTATCCAGAAAGACATTTGTTACCCTGTCTCAATGGGAAAGTGCCCAAGCAACATCGTGTCTCATCATCCCAAGAGTGATCGTATCAGTCGAGCGCTAACAAACCAGATAAACCAACATCCCCAGAGTCTGATTCAGATAGCAGCAGTGCTGAGGTTTCACATGCGTCGCCCAAACCACACGAGCAGCAGGCCGAGCGTCTGATGTAGTTTTAAAGGCCGTGGAGAATCCGCTGGCCGTCACAGGAGCCCGACGCTCTCTGAGATCCATGAGTAACGCTGAGGTCACTCTCCTTCAGGAGCCAGATGGCACATGAATCTACTCACGCTAATTAACGCTTGTGACGTATAGCGAGTGATCTGAGAGCTGAAGAGCGCTCGGCTCAGATGTAAAGGTCACGTGTCGGTGTGCTGGGCTCAGGAACTGAAGAGGGCATGCAACGCTTCAGCCCCGGATCTCAGTCAGTGGAGCAGTCTGGGAAACTTCATTCTCAGAAATTGTGGGCTGGTACTTTGTAAGGCAGTGCAACGCAACGGATGCGCCACGACAAACAGCAGATCTGTGCAACGACAGCACTTCACAGTACAGTTTTATTTGTTCACATTAGTTAACATGAACAACACTTCCACAGCATGTATTAAACTTGATAACTCTCAATCTCATCATATACTACTACATTATTAAAATCAAAAGTTCCATCAGTTAACATGAGTTAATGCATTGCAAATTAACATGAACCAGAGTTTTTCTAGTTAAAGAATAACCATAAAAATAAAAAAAATTATATATATATATATATATATATAAAAATAAATAAATAAAGAGAGAGAGAGAGACTCACTAAATATATACACACACACACACACCACCGGTCAAAAGTTTGGGATCAGTTAGACTTGTAATGTTAAAGAAGTGTCTTCTGCTCATCAAGGCTGCATTTATTTGATCAACAATACAGAAAAAAAACCTAATCTTGCAAAATGTTATTGCAATATAAAATAATGGTTTCTACGTGAATCTCTGTTAAAGTGTAATTTATTTCTGTGATGCGCAGCTGTATTTTCAGCATCATTACTCCAGTCTTCAGTGTCACATGATCTTCAGAAATCAGTATAATATGCTGATTTATTATTAGAATTATCAACAGCTGTGCTGCACAATATCCCAAACTTTTGAACAGTAGTGTATATTGTGAGAAAATATTTATATTTTAAATAAATGCTCCTCTTTTAAACACACACACACATATATATATATATATATAAAGCAGATATTAAACTTTTATTTCAGCCATTTTAAACAAACAAATATTTATAAATTTAATTTACATTAATTTGACTTACTAAAATAATTAAAACTGAAGTAAAAATGAATTATACTGACATTTACAAAAAGCAAAACCGCAAAGTTTAGCTAAAAGTAACAAATTTAAATACAAACTGAATCTAAATATACAAATGAATTCAAAATAACAAAAACAGTATAAACAAAGATTTTTAAAGCACATTAACAAAGGCTAATAAATGCTGATTGGTAGTTAATGCATTAACTGATGTTAACAAATGAGATGCTATTGTTGACCGTCACCACTTTCCAAGTTAAAATCTTGCAGTAAAACCCACTGAGAAGTCTTCAGACGAGAGGAGGTGTTCTGCGAGTCACATCATGACTGCGCACTGAACAACGGTTCGGAAACCAGCGAACTAGAAGGAAACACCCAGCCTCTGATTACCAGAAGCTGCGAGTGTGGCAATCAATGCGTTACGTCATCACATCTCACACAGTCCCAGCCCGAGAGTCCGGTTCAGAGCGGTTTACTGTGCCTCAGACCGGCTGCTGTGCAGAGGAGCGAGACACACGAGCGGCGAAACCAAACGCACTCCTGACTCACAGCAACACCTGCGCAGAAACGGGTGAAGACTCCAGTGTTAGGTGGAGGAGAGTCAGAGCGAGAAACCTGCTACGCTTCTGAATAACTGCTCACAACAAAACCAGCAACTACTACAAAAAAAAAAAATAAATAAAAAAAATAAAAAATAAAAAATAAAAAAAGCTTTATGATATGAAAAAAAAAAAAAACTTGTTTTAAGCAAAAACACTTAATTGATCTTTTTTTTTTCAGGAAACAAAACTTGATATTTTGCTCTTTAAGTAAATATGTGACCATGGACCACAAAACCAGTCATAAGGGTCAATTTTTTCAAAATTGAGATGTATGCATCATCTGAAGCTGAATAAATGCTTTCCATTGATGTATGGTTTGTTAGGATAGCACAATATTTGGTCGAGATACAACTATTTGAAAATCTGACTGATAGATGAATAACTGACAGACAGACACAGAACTACGGAAGAAAGTCATGTTTTGCTGTGTTTATACAGGAATGGCTGCAGATCTGACTGAAGTGGCAGACGACAGACATCAAGTGAGTCATGCCACAGGAAGAACGGGTTATAAATATTTGATTAAAGTAAACAATAAAAAGCTTTATGATATGAAAAAAAAAAAAATCTTGTTTTAAGCAAAAACACTTAATTGATCTTTTTTTTTCAGGAAACAAAACTTGATATTTTGCTCTTTAAGTAAATATGTGACCATGGACCACAAAACCAGTCATAAGGGTCAATTTTTTCAAAATTGAGATGTATGCATCATCTGAAGCTGAATAAATGCTTTCCATTGATGTATGGTTTGTTAGCATAGCACAATATTTGGTCGAGATACAACTATTTGAAAATCTGACTGATAGATGAATAACTGACAGACAGACACAGAACTACGGAAGAAAGTCATGTTTTGCAGTGTTTATACAGGAATGGCTGCAGATCTGACTGAAGTGGCAGACGACAGACATCAAGTGAGTCATGCCACAGGAAGAACGGGTTATAAATATTTGATTAAAGTAAACAATAAAAATCTAAACAAATGCACGGATGAATCACTCACAATAAAACCCAAGTCATGCATTAAGAGCACACATTATGATGTCATGCAGACTTTAGATGTTTGTTTATGATGATGAGTGTGTGCTGATCCAACAGCGGACAGGTGTGACGTCTGACGCGCTTCATGTGAGACCTGCTTCATTCAGAAAATCAGAAAAACAAACCTGTGCCGCTGCTGACAAAAACAAACTTCCTGAAGCACCGCACACACACACGCTCAAGCTCACACAAACGCGCTCGCACACACACACACACACGCGCGCTCGCTCACACACGCTCAAGCTCACACACACGCGCTGATCCAACAGCGGACAGGTGTGACGTCTGACGCGCTTCATGTGAGACCTGCTTCATTCAGAAAATATCAGAAAAACAAACCTGTGCCGCTGCTGACAAAAACAAACTTCCTGAAGCACCGCACACACACACGCTCAAGCTCACACAAACGCGCTCGCACACACACACACGCGCGCGCTCGCTCACACACGCTCAAGCTCACACACACAAACGCGCGCACACATGCACGCAGAAGATGTCTAAACACACAGACAGGTTGAGTGTCGGGGCTGTTCTAACGCACTTCACAGGAGGATTTCCAGGCTAAAAATACCTGCAGCATCACAAACCACATCTAACAGCAGAAAACTGCAAAACCCTGCATTACTGCACGAACGCAGCGGTGTGAACTACAGCACCAAAACAAAGAGCTCGGGATGTTTTCTGACGCACACAAACACGGGTGAATCTCACCAAACACATCCAGCTCGCATTCATTTCAGCAATGAAGTGCACCGATAAATCAGGTATAATAAACACTGCAATATTCCATAAAAAAAAATCAGAACTGTCCGTTTTGATTTCATGGTGACTTTAAGGTTCCTCAGAGGAGAAACGAGAGCCGGATGAGCTGCGTCAGATTCAGAGCCTCTTATAATAACAGTCTGACATGAGTCTGTTCTAGGAAATCATCTATCATTCTTGAGCCTAACCACACACACACACACACACACACACACACACACAGACTGACTGAACTGACAAACAACTCAGCATTGCCAAAATGACGCACAGACCCGCTGATGGGGCACACGCGCACACATGTGGTTTCACAGATGTAGGTGCCACATGCAGGGGCTAAAACTTAAAAATAGAAACTTTTCTGCTCATCCAAATTTAGTTTCAGCAGGTTAATGATCCGTTGAGCATCAAAAGTCACGTTTACAGTGAGCGTCTAAAGCACACATGCACAGATTTCAACGGGCTCGTCGCCAAAAGAGCAGCGGTTTGATTTAATTGCACGCAAATCCGTCATAACACAGAAGAACATTCATAAAAAGCATCGACCCGTTCCTGTCGCTTACCCAGAACCCCCCACCGCTTATTCTGAATGAGTGCGTGTGCATTTATACACATGTGTGGGCGTCTTTCACTGGTTATATTCACAGCTGCTGGTGGGAAACGCGCACTCATTAGAATAGTGATTGTGTGAGTTCTTGTGAATGAGTGTGTTCTGGTAGAAGAGGAAGTGTGCGACCGCAGCGAGAGCTTCACCTGAGCGTCTGAGAGCGTCTCCAGCGCCTGCAGGACCGACTGCTCCGAGCGGCACGACTGCGACTGCAAACACACAACAACAACATGCATGAGAACACAAAACACATTTCGTTTGCACCACACTCATCAATCACGAGGTCTTTAAATGCAAAAACGAGGAAGAGTTTTATACCATCAGTCCGGCTTCGACCGTGGGCACCAGCGTGAGTCTGCTCCCGTCAGCCACACCGAAATCCAGCAGCTTTCCCGAGTTTAACCTCCTGCGGACGGAGAACACACAGTCCCTCAGACTTCCCATCATGCATCTCTCCAGCATTCATGAGACGGTTTCAGTTCAGCGTGCTTAGCCTTTCTGAACAACCGTCGCTGAGATCTGACGGCGTCATCAGAATAATGTTTCTGGAGTCTAACACACTGAAATATATCTAATTACACCATTTATAAACAGCACTTTAGCTGGCTCATTCCAGCTATTAACATTCAGTAACATTATTATCGATTTGACTGCACTGACACTATTATAACCTTTAGGAATTCTGTGTTGTTGTTGTTTAGCAAGTAAAGAAATGCAAGGAATAAACTGAAGGGAACACTATAGACTCTTAAAGAAGTCTCTTCTGCTCACCAAGCCTGCATTTATTTGATCAGAAATACAGCAAAAGCTGTAAAATTGTGAAATATTTTTACTATTCAAATCAGCTGCTTTCTAAGTGAATCTCTGTTAAGCTGTAATTTATTTCTGTGCTCAAAGCTGTATTTTCAGCATCACTCCTCCAGGCTTCAGTGGCGCATGATCTTGATGCATGTGCATTACTTTTCAACTCATTTGACAAAAACAAACAGCTTCAGGCTTAATTAATAGCTCTGATCCAAACACAGCATAACCTTTAGATCACAATACTTGAGAAGCAAAGAGAGTTTAAGCTTAAAACAAAACCAAAGAGGCTTAGAAATCAGCAAGTGTTCATCCAGCACAGTTTAAGCTTAAACTCACTTCTGCTGCGTTTCTCAGAAAACTAGACCCTCATCTCAAATAAATGCATCTTGATTTGAAGATTTTTAGAAAACAAAACACCGCAAGCATGCAACGGGTATGAATTTAAAGCTGTCGGGTCTAATTTAAAAACCTTTAAGGCCTTAATTTGTGGAAAGGCGAGTTAAGCCCTCAAGACCCGATGTTCTGATCCGCATCACCCGGATCTGGATCTCGCGGACCCCGGGCTCGGACTCACGTGTCTCGGTGCAGCAGCAGCAGTCGCTCTGCGGGAACCCGGAGCTTCTCGGACAGCCTCCGCTTCAGCCCCAGCACGGTCTCGTCCAGCGGGACGGACAGCTCGAAGCGGGACCCTGTCGTGGAGCGGATCGATACGGTCATGGACGCGTCTCCGTTCAGGAGCTCCGGACACCGGGACCGCGGTCCGTGACTGCTGCAGCTCCGCTCCATCCGATAATCCCGTGATCTCTGAACCGAGCGGGGGACGGTGTGTGCCGGAACGAGCGCGATAATCCTTCCGCGACCGGAGAAATATCCGTTCGGTGCTCTGAGGTAAATCCACAGACAATAACAGCCGCCGATCTGCACAGAAACACGCCGAAATATCAATACCAGAAGGCCACTAGGATCCGAATGTACATCTATATATATCTCTCGAATGTAATTTGTTTTGTTTTTAATTGTTTTTTTACCTCGACCCTTCAGCCGCTCGCTCGCTCTTCTGTGCAGCGTACCTGCTGCGTCTGCATTTGTTGCGAGGTCCCAGCGGTGAGATCCCGCCCACCGCTACAAACAACCAATGGCGTTAGCGGATACGCTTGCCTTCGCCGTGTCAGCCAATCAGCTGTCCGCTCGTTGCACATAGGCACCGCCCTGTCCGCTGCGATAATAGTTGACGTGACCAATCAGAGAAGCGCAGCGAGAACAGCCACGCCCCTTCCCGCAGGGATCATTCATAACAACTGAGAGCAAAGCATTTGATTAAACAATTTTTCTGGAATTCTGGAAACGACAACATAATACACTTATTACGCATTTTTAGGAAAACATCACTTGCACAAAGCCAAGGCTATTTATTTATTTATTTCATTGGTTTTTGTGCAAGTGAAATTTATTAATAAAATTTTTTTTCCATGCGCATATTTGTCTGGTGACAGGAGCTTCCAGTGCAGAAAAAAGTACAGACAGATTTGCACAGAAATTAAGGCGATAACATGCAATATAGCACAATAATAAAGAAAAAAAGACAATCAAAATTAAATATAATACAACATTAACAAAAAAATAGAAGTTATATATTTTTCATATATATATATATATGTGTGTGTGTGTGTGTGTGTGTGTGTGTGTTTGTGTATGTGTAAATGTGTATGCTGCACATTTCTAAATATACTAATGGAAGTACAAGCTAGTCTGACTATTTGGGGTAATGTCAGTGTAACTTTAATGTGTATGTATATATATATATATATATATATATATGTGTGTGTGTGTGTGTGTGTGTGTGTGAGTGAGAGAGAGTGTGTATATGTGTGTGTGTAAATATATATATATAAAGACAACAAAATGTAAATATAATACAACACAGTAATAAATATATATATATACACATACATAGTCTATAGGAATATGAATGGATGGATTTACATTATGAATTTATTTATTTTGCATATACTTTTTACATTTTATAAATCTGACAAAACACCTCTTTTTCAAGAATTTAAGGATTTAAATGAATGTTTATAAATGTGTACTTACTGTAGTGTTTGTGCCCATCATCATCATCATCATCATCATCAGAGTGACTCAACACATCAAACACTCACCTCCTGCTCTGCCCAGCGCTGCAGCGTTCAGGAGTTTCTGCTGGTTTGCTGAAGTTATGAATCATCGTCTGGGGTTGGGATCTGAGTGAGTGTGATGTTGTGGGAGGAGGTTTGCGCTCCGGAGGAATGTCGAGTCAAATTCCAGCCCTGTTCCTGAAACAGAACATTCCGACACCATGATGCGTGTTGTTTTAGGATTGTTCTACAGTCTCCACGCAGGGGTGTCTGATGGAAAGGTGACAGTAATGTGAGCTGCTCACGGGTTAGTCAGAGTCTCTGTGAAACACATTAGACACGATACGGAGCACAGCTAGGCTCATCAATCACTTCAACCTGGCTGCCTTTCAGACGTTCCCATGAAAACATTCTCGGAATGTTCAAAATCTAAAGGCTTGTAAAAACTTCTTTTGTCATGGGAACAATCTATTTGAAACGTTCAAACAGTGTTACTTCTAAATGTTCAACGAACGTTCTAAAAAAAAAGTTACATTTGAAAAAAACGTTACATGAATGTGCAACTAAAACCTTTCAAGAATAAAATGTTCTGTGAGCAATATATATAAATAACACTTTGTGTTAAAGGACATTATTAAAGAGAAACGGAAGAATGCTTGTTCATAACTTTGAGAAGCGTAATCTGTGAAGGAGCAGTTATTTACTCGCCATCACTTCAGCTCAAACCCGTGTGCTGTTATCTGAGGAACACAGACAGATCACGGCTGACATGCTGTCAAAAATGACTGCTTTTATGTCAAATCTGGAAACCTATGATTACATATTTTGAAAAGATGAAGACCCTACCTTCTAACTAATTAATAGGACTAACATTTTAGAAAGGCCATCTGACTTTAAAATACTTGGTTATGTCATGCTTGCTTATATATCTACACAGAAAGACCATTTGAGTGATTTCTTATTTGTATTCTTTTTTTTTCTTTTCTTTTCTTGTTAACAAAATTGACTTTGATATCAGCTGATAACAAAGTATTGAAATGTATCTTGCTATTTTGTATAGTAAGCACTCACTTTATTCATATAATTATTTGGTTGTTTGGCTATTTATCTATTATTTTTCTACTTTGTTAATTCAGGGTTGTGGAACGGGGTGGGGAAAGCAAATACATCATTATGTAATTAATTAAAATTAATAAAAACGTTTTTAGATTTGAGGTTTTTAGACTGTTAGAGTACTTTTAATTTCAGTCTTTCGTCTTCGAAATGTCACATTTAATTCAGTGTTGAACACAGTCGCGCTGCTTCATATTTTTGTGGAAACTGTGATGCATGTTATTTTTCAGGATTCACAGATGAACAGAAAGTTCAGAAGAACAGCATTTATTCGAAACCGAAATCTTTTGTAACATTATAAATGTCCTTATTGTCACTTTTGATCAGTTTCAATGCTATTTAAGTTTTTCTACTTCTAAATTTCACTTTTAATTCAGTGCTACATGCCTTTTTTTTTTAATTATTTGTGATATTTACTAGCGATTTCTGAGTGAAAATAGTTTCAAAGTCTAAACTCAAAATTTGATGTTGACTTGCTGCAATAATAAAAAAACAAGTTCAGTTGTCTCAATTAAAAAATATGAACTGAATATGTTTAAACACTGGCACTTTAGTGGAACCAACTGAACATTTTCAATGCCGCAATCAACACAAAACTCTCTAAATCTCTCACAGTGGACAGATACGATACTTCTATTGGTGTTTTGTCGTTTTTGGAGCTCGACATTCTTTATGTTCATGCATTTATCAGATGCTTTAATCCAGAGAGACTGACCCGGAGTATGAGAGCGCATCAGAAGCGTGTCGCTGGGACTCAGATGAGATGCGAGGGTCCTTCAGGCGTCTCGTGAGGAGACGCTCAGCAGGATTCTGTGGAGATCCACACCTGCCTCTTCATCCTCATCCTCCTCATCCTCATGCTGCGCGCTCACACACCAGCTCTCAGCTCTGCTCCTGATCAGCTCTCTCAAACACAGATTTACTTGTTAAAATAACACATTCTGATTAATACGCATCTGACTGAACAGAGGTCTGAAGTGAAAAATGAAAAATATCTGGCCACTAATAATGTAGATCCTGTAACTCAAGCTGGGTAACAGTTTTTCTCTCTAAAGATGATTGGAATGTGTTTTACAAGAAAATACGGGTTCAGTTTTCTGTTTAATTCAATGTTGCTTGAGATTTCTTTGTAATTCATTGTAAAATGTACTAGTGAAAATGGCCTGTTTTGTTTTTCAGTGTACACTTAACAAATAAAGCAGATGAATTCACATTCAACACAAGACTGTTTTATATACACTGCTGCTCAAAAGTTTGGGGAGTTTTAATGCTTTTAAAAGACGTCTCTTCTGCTCAAGGCTGCATGTATTTGATCAAAAATAGTGAAAAATTCTGACAAATTATTAGAATGTAAAACAGCTGTTTTCTATGTGAATATATATTAAACTGTAATATATCTCTGTGATGCGCAGCTGTATTTTCAGCATCATTCCTCCAGTCTTCAGCGTCACATGATCTTCAGAAATCATTCTATTATATGCTGATTATTAGAAACAGTTCTGATTATCATCAATGTTGAAAACATTAATATTTCTGTGGAAACTGTGATGCATTTAGTTTTTCAGGATTCACAGATGAACAGAAAGTTCAGAAGAACAGCATTTATTTGAAACAGAAATCTTCTGTAACATTATAAAGTCACCTTTGGTCAGTGTAATGCGTCCTTGCTGAATACAAGTGTTGATTTGTTTGTCTTGCCACCATCCGGGGTCAGAGGTCAGTTCTGCAGCATCTGTGTGTAGCTGTTTCTGGCAGCCGAACCTGTAACCTGTATTTGAAATATATTTTCTTAGAGCCCACTGAGATTTGAAGTTAATATTTCACGTGTTCACTGACATCAGGTAATGCTCACATGAAATGCAGCTTAACAAATCAAATATTTATATTTTATTATATTTTAAAATTATTTATTTTAATTTAATGT